CACCGATGTCACCATCAATCCACTTCACCACCGATGTCACCATCAATCCACTTCATCACCGATGTCACCATCAATCCACTTCATCACCCATGTCACCATCAATCCACTTCACCACCGATGTCACCATCCATCCACTTTATCACCCATGTCACCATCAATCCACTTCACCACCGATGTCACCATCAATCCACTTCACCACCGATGTCACCATCTATCCACTTCACCACCGATGGACCCATCAATCTACTTCATCACCAATGTCACCATCAATCCACTTCACCACCGATGTCACCATCAATCCACTTCACCACCGACGGACCCATCAATCCACTTCACCACCGATGGACCCATCAATCCACTTCACCACTGATGACCCCATCAATCCACTTCCAGCCCTCAGCTCCATGCTTCTAGGTTTGGGTTGGTCCCCGTTGGCAAGGCCAGCACTATCCTGTGCTGACCAGCACGAAGCTAGCCCTTCTCAGGTGTTCCCTCCCCCAACCAGCCCTCAGGGTCTGACCCGCACCTAGGAGCTTCTTCCAGGACTTGATGAGGGACTTGGCCAGTGCAATGACCTCCTCATCTGAGCTCTGCTTCCGCAGGGCGTTGACAGACATCCCGACACGGGTGGACTGCAAGGCAAGCAGCCTGGGTCAGGAAGCAGTGGGAGCCCAGCCAAAGGGGAGGGCTTCAGACCCTCCTAGCAGACCATTGGTTCCCATAAGGCAGGGGCTGGCAGACAGCACTCCCAAGGTTACTATTGGATCCTGTCACAGGACAAGGTGGGTAACCCTCCCTCATACACCCCCTCCCCAGCTCACTTAGCGCCAGACAAAAACAGAACACTCTCCTCAGAACAAATGTTTGTGCCAAACAAGGCCAAGGGGGACAGGGAGCTCTTGAAACTGCTGGCCCCAAAGCTGTCCTAGGATGGTACAGGGCCTACCTGGAGCAGGTGCAGTGTGATAGGCATGGCCTTCAGCTCCCGCAGCAGGTCCATGGCCCCTTCCTGGAAGGAGAAGGGACCTTCATCAAGGGCTCTAGACCTCAGCAGACAACCCTACCTCCTTCTTCCCACTGGGGATAACAAAGCAGTAGCAGGAGCAGTTTACATGTTCAAAGGAAGCCACAATTCCCCCACTTGAGATGCCCAGAGCTCTAGGGACATGTTCTTTCACCCCAGGCAGGAATGGTAGTGGTCTGCAGTCTGCGCCTCACAGGCCATGTCTGCAGCAGTGGGGCTTCCTGTCACCACTTCAGCTCCCTGGCCAAACTGCTGGCACGGAAGTGCCAAAGCCCCTCACGGGCATGGAGAGCTGCCCCCAGGCTCACTAGCCGCCTATCCATCCATCCATCCACACCCCAGGAGAGGGCAGCCTCTCCGCATTAATGCGTCCGCCCACTCAGCAAGGAGAGGCTGCCCCAACAAACTCTCAGGGTACCTTCACTTCCAGTCACAGCCATAGCAGCACCCAGAAGGCTTTGGTTCCACTCCTTATATATGCCCCCACCCCCAGGCCAATCACCACCCTGTCCTGGACACTCCCTTGTTCTGCTCTGCCTTGCCCTCCTGCCCAAACTCTTTGTTTAGTCTCCTCACCAGGCCTACACGCACCTCCATGTCAAGGAGGCTTCTCAGTGCTCCTCAAAGGAGGGCTGGGAAGGCGGCTCAGTGGTAGAGCGCTTGCCTAGCAGGCATGAAACCCTGGGTTTGATTCCTCAGTACCACATACACAGAAAAAAAATCAGAAGTAGTGCTGTGACTCAAGTGATAAGAGTGCTAGCCTTGAGTAAAAAGAAGCTCAGGGACAGTGCCAGGCCTGAGTTAAAGCCTGGCAAAAAAAAGGGGGGGTGGGGGAAGAGGAGGGTCAAAGAAGCCACCCCCAGGACCCTTGCTTCTGAGGCTGCTGCCTCAACACTCTTCCAAAGCTTTACTTAAAACACTCCTACTTAGAACTGAGATTAACTCATGCAACATTCTACACTGCTCCTGCTTCCCTGCCTTCCTATTGTCCTGATGTCTGCTCACTGTGTATTCAGACATGAAGGGGCAGACCATCCACTCAGCCATTCACATGTCTGCAGTGGACAGAGGAAGGAACAGAGTCTGCTGGGTCTGTGCAGCATCTCTGGCCAGCCCCTTCTCACACAGATCCTGGTCTCCTGAAAGCTGACCCCCAGAACAAGGGCATTCTCCCCCAACAGTCCTGCACACCCGCCAGGAAGGGCTAGCGTATACATAAAGCCCCCAAATAGGTGTGTGCTGCAGCACTCATGAAGCCTCTTCGGGACCCTGTCCCCATCCTAACCCTAACCTTCCCATGCCTGGGCTGGTCTGCTTGTGACGTACTTCCACCAGACTCTCAGTCTCTATTGCCCCGATCCACATGGTCCCTAGTGCCTCTCTGCCTCTCTCCCACTTGGCATTTGTCCTTTGGGTTTGCCTCCTTCAAAGAGAAAAACATCTCCCTTCTCTGGCCAGCAGGTCACCGCTACCCCCACTCTGAGGCCCACAGATGGCCAGGAGTGAGGCCGGCCATGGAAGGGTGGTGGCACACGTAAAGGAACCTACAGGTGCCTGCCTATCCAGTTTGGACCCCAGGCTCAACCATGCTCATTCCAAAAGACCATCCCACCTCCGACCCACTACAGGTGCCGCTCTGGGGGGCTGGGCAGGCCTCCGGGAGCCCGTGACTCAGCTGCCTTCGCGGCCTGCCCGTCCAGGACTGTCCCCATGGTCTCCTTGTAGCCTTTCCACCTCCTCCCGGCGCCCCTCTCCTCTGGGGCCAGGCAGGGCGCCGGTGCCCCTGGCTGAAGATGCGGCGGCGGGCCGGCCGCGGGGCTGGACCCGGGAGGTC